CTCGGGCCTTCCCTCCCTCAAACCCCGGGGTCCCCCACCCGTGCAAACTGAAAGTGTTGTGCCCTCCACCCCCAAAACCCCCCCAGCAAGAGGGGAATTCTGGGAGTTGAAGTCCACACATCTTCAAGTTGCCAAGGTTGAGGAACCCTGGTGTAGAGGGAAGGAACGCCTGAAGCCCTAAATGGTGATTCTCTGTCTAGACCTGCCCCTTTCCCCTGTTTTGTGGCCCTTAGCAGGGCAGGGGCCTTGCTCAGTTATTTGCAACTCTTCGCGAGTCGTGGCAATTAAAGGAAAGGAGGAAAGCAGTTGAGCTGGGTTCTCAGAAGCAAGCTGTCTTGGACTCCAGGTCTCTTTCCCTTTTCTTCCATGGAGAAAGCTAGTTTAGTACCTTGGCTTGGAATCAAGGGCAGACCTCGCCTCATGCATATCCTGGGGAGGTTGTGCTTTTACACACTCTTCACAGTTCAACAGTAATGGCTTGCTCTCTATTGCTGGCTTGTAAGTTAAGAAAGCTTTAGGTAAGCAAAACCATCTTGTGCTAGACTTGCAACTCTGCGCAATGGGTTTAGACTCCTGGACAACTTCTCTGCGCCGTGTCTTTATTCCTTGGTTGGTTAAGGGGGTCCAAGAGTCCTAATAGTTGATCCTTGCCCATAGATGTCATATTTGCACATTTTATGTTAAGGTTAGATTTTTGATCCTGATTTTAAGGTGGCTTATCTCCCCTTCAAGCTTTTCTGATTCCCAGCATTTCCTTTTTATAAGGATTTTTATAGAACTGGATATGATTTTGCTTGTAATACTACATCAGTCACCCAATGAAGACACCGGCCATTTGTATACCCTTTTACAGATATCTGGGCTGGATGCTGTCTCTCAGTGGCTTCCTCTTATAGAAGACTGGCTACCAGAAGTGATGATCTTGGTCTGTGACAGAGTCTCTGAAAACGGTAAGGCAGCAAGGCCAAACTCTGGTGAGGGTGTGAAGCTCGGTTGAAGCAAGAGAGGGAGCAGCTTGGAAGGGCCACATTTGGAAAATCTGAAACTGAGAGCTTGGCCAGCTCTGTGGTTTTGGAGAATTGCTGGGCTCCACGGGCTGCTTCCTGGGTTACAGTCCCTCTTAGGACAGGCCAGTTAAGTAACTGCAGCCACCAGGGCTGTCTCAATGTCCCAAGGTGGCGTTTCCTAGTTAAAAATAAATTATTATTTTTAAAGAACTGCCGTGTTTATCTGAAACGAAATTGACCAAATGAAAAGGATTTATACAGTGTATTCAGAAAATATAAGATAAATATAGGCAAAGATTCTCTGGGATGCCCAGCTTCCTTACCCTGTCAACCAACATTGGTCAACTCCAGTTGGAACCAGTCTGAAAGATTTAGGCCACACTGAATGGGTGTGATGCACTCATACAGTACAGGTAGTCCTGGCTTAATGACCCTAATTGGGACTGGAATTGTATTAAAACTAGTAATGTTTTAATTTAAGGTTTTATGTGTTTATATATTTTATGTTCTAATGTTTATTGTGAATCGCCCAGAGTTCCCCCATTGGGGGAGATGGGCGGTTGAAAAAATAAATAAATAAACAAATAAACAAACAAATAAATAAATTTCTGTCGCCGAGGGAAGCAGTTGTTAGGCGAAACATCACGGACCACACCACTTAGTGACGGAAGTTCCAGTAGTCGTGGTTGCAGTTGTTAGGCCAGGACCAGGCCATTGTTAGGTGAGGACCTCACGCTTCTGCCCTGCCCTGCCCTGCCCTGCCCTGCCCACCTCCTCTTCAACTTCCCCTTCTGCCTATCTCCCCTCCATCTCTGCCCTTTTGGCCGCCCTGCGCTCTGCTGCCTACCCATTGCCCTCCTGCCCCTGCTGCCTCCCACTGACCTTCGCCATCTTCTTCCTCCCACTGCTGACGAGGCACGCCCAGCCTGGCCCTTTGCGAGGCCTTCTTCCCGAGGGCACATGAGGCTTCGGGAAAAGCTTGCCCGTGGCCAGCAGCTGCCTTGTGAAGCACCAGGGTGGGCACACCTCAGCAGTGGGAGGAGGAAGATGGCGAAGGTCAGTGGGGGGTGCAGAGTGGAATGCAGGGTGGCCAAAGGGGCAGAGATGGGGGGAGAGAGGGCTTCATTTCCAGCGTACTTAACATTTCCAGTTTATTTACCAGGTTATCCCAATTTATTTATGCTGCATTTTCTTCTGTCCAGTGACAGTGTTCCCACACTGAACACGCGCAGCATTCCTCAGAACATACCAAGCGTTTGCAGCCCTACATCCCGTCCAGTGAATTTTCTAGCGCAGATGCAGAGGGTGGCATAAGTCCTTTTGGGCAAAAACACCCCTTTCTTCTTACTTCTTTCAGGCATCACCCGGCAGAAAGCGCAAGAATGGTGCATCAAGCATAGCTTTGAGTTGGTGGAATTCAACCCAGAGGAGCTCCCGGATGAGGACGGTGAGATCCGGTCTTTACCTCCTGTCTGTAATGCCAGCAGCGACTTCCAGGCTGTTTGGTTTCTTTCGGGTCGTAAGCAAGTTTCGTCCCTGCCGCAAAAAGTCTGGGGCCTCCTGTATTTCTGCCCGAAGCAGTCTTCTCTCTCCCCAGAATTAAGTGGGGCTGCTGTCTCACAGGCCATTGCAGAAGGTGGTTTGGGATTTACTGTGGATGTGTGCAAGAATGTCCACAGGGTGTGGTCAAAAAAGCCAAGCTGGTGGCCACAACAATGTGGTTGCAACTGTTGTTTTTTATGTGCATTGCGCATAAGAAACAGGAGGAGGTTCTGTCACACTGTTGTGGCTGCCAGCTGACCATTTTTGAAAATACCCCTGGACGTGTGGATCAGTATATGATAAATCCAGTCTCTTTCAATCTTTTCAGATAGTTTTTTTTTTTTAAATCCACGTCTATTTCATTCACCACATTCCCTCCGAGGTTGAGCTTTTTGGCACAGCTCCCTTGGCCTTCCAAAACAGTCGAGATCATCTTTGCAGAGAGAGTTGAGCTTGGACTGAGTGCCGGACGTAGGGAGGCCGCTGGGTGCTTTCCAGCGCTGCCCCCCCCCGTTCCCTTACGTTGCTCTGCATTTCATCCACCCCATGTCTTTAGAAATTGCAAGGGATCACAGCATCGTCTCTTGTATAAGCTCCCGGATGTTGACAACCCTGGGAATCCCGACTCTTGTTCAGACACGTCTCTCTCAGCTGCTGCTTTGGGTGGTGCTTTGTCACTGGGGAGAGATGCTTGAAGGCTCCATTTGGGGCAGCTGGCTGTGCCACGGCGAGCCTGCGCTTGGGCTCTTGCATCAGGGGCCATCAAGGCTGAGGTTTTATTTATTCATTTATTACTTTGAATGTAGTGGCGAAGGTGCTGGCTTAGAAGCCAGGAGGTGGTGAGTTCTAGTCCTGCCTCAGGCATGAAAGCCAACGGGGGCCAGGCCCTCTCTCTCATCCCAACCTACTTCACAGGAAGATAGGAGGGAGGAGTATTAGACATGTTTGCCACCTTGAGTTATACATGAAAAAGTCAGGAAATAATAATAGCAGCAGCAGCAGCAGCAGCAGCAGCAGCAGCAGCAGCAGCAGCAGCAGCAGCACCCATCTCAAATACATGACTCTGGGCGGCTTACTACAGTCAGAAATAAAACAAAAAAAAGTTATAAAACAAAGGTTCAAGTTCATATAAATGCAAGTTATTGTAGGTGGCGATAAAACAACTATGATCTGTAAAGTATGTTTAAAACTCGAATTTGAAGGGCTTTTAGGGGAAACGGTGTGCCTTTCTCTGGTGCATGTCCACTATTTGGACATGGAATGTTTATCGTGGCATATGAAGCACGTATCATGTGAAAGCCAGGCCCGTCCTGAAGTTCATCCAAGTTTGTGTCAGCAGAAGAACCAGCATTTATAGCAGAAGGCCCTCTGCTTCTCTTGGATGCTTGTTAAACCTAAGGATATCAGGACATATGCTATTTGATAGCACTGTTGTTGATCATTCTTTAAATTTTCTGAAACAGATCTGTTTAAAAAATAGTACAGTATTTCTTGAGTTATTTCCTGATAGATATTTGAGCAATTTGGCAAGGAGTATCTGACTCCCTTACTGGTAAACAGCATATTACTTCTTCCATCTCAGATTAAACAGACAAAACGACTTGTCATAAGGTCAGTTCTGGTCCAGAAATAAATCCTTAGGCTCAGGAGCATCCTGTTATTTTATTTTAGTTTTACATCTCTCGCCCCTGATGCTGGTTGGCATTTCTTTGGGTTCTAAAAAACAAAAACAGAGTACTCTGTCCTGCCTAGTCATTTCTTATCAGAGTTTCAGTTTTAAATATGCTAATGCTTCATCTGAAACCTTATCTTTGCAGTGGGCATTCAAGGTGATATATCAGTTTTTTGGTTGCATTGTCATTTTGATAGTTTCTTTTGAGTCACCGCTGAAGGCATTTACAACCTTCTAAGGTTGCTCTAGGTCCTTTGCTAAGAACAGGCAGAAAATGCTGGAGGGATTTTTTTTTTTAAATTATTTCCTCCTTGAGTGGTGATAACCGTTCTTAAGGCCATATGACATGTTTGAGGTAGGGTTTCTCTTTCCCAAAGGGTCAGCCTGGGTCCCTTGTTCGGTTTGAGCCGCTTATAGTCCTCTAGAGCTGGGTTAGGCCCTTGGTTTGCATGTTTGTGTCGGGGAGAAGTTGTCTTCAGATTCAGTGGGAATTCCTTGCCCTCAGCACATAAACAGTTATTGCAGAATGCCCACTCCGGGCTGGGATTACAACCTCCCCTCCCCGCACTAAGATCTGGATCACAGCTGTGCCTCCAGACTATTAAATGCAAGAAAAATCCTTAATCAAGGGCAACCCCCCCCCCATTACCATCATGGGGGGTTTGTTCTTTATTTGTGTCTTCCTTTATCGCAAACTGCTGCGTTGTGATCACTGCATGGAGCTTGCAAGGGTTTGTTTTTTCCCCGAGTATAGAATTCTGATCTTCGTTTGCAGAATGTCAGAAAGATTTTCCCAGAATCTGCAGAAGCGTCTTTAGAATAATGCTTCTCATTCACACCGCCAACTTTTTGTGGGGTCTCTCTCCCTGGTTGTATTTAACTCAAATTGGGAATTGAGAATGACACAGTGAAGAGAGTAAAATCCAGGCCTTGTTTATCCTTCTTCTCAGCTTCTGAATTCTCATTCTGTTTCTGAAGAAGCCTTTTTAACAAATCGTATTCCAACTCTGCCCTCTTCCCCCGTTAGATGACTTTCCAGAATCTACAGGAGTGAAACGAATCATCCAAGCCTTGAATGCCAACGTCTGGTCAAACGTGGTGATGAAAAATGGTATGGGTTTTTAAGGTCAGCTTTTAAAAATTAACGCAAATAATTTTCAGGCATGGGTGTAGAGCAGTTTCTCCCAGAAGTCTGGCATGTGGGGATTTACTCCCCGCCAAGGATACCTGTTACCTGAGGGGCGTCTGGGACGAAAGTGGCAGCCGTCACTTGCTCTCGACTGTCTGCGGGGGGACGACATGGAATAACAGCAGGAAGACGGATTCTGGCTGGAAGTTACGTCTTCCCATTAAGAAGAATTTGACAATGGAACCAGTTGCCCAGGGAGGTGGGATAAGTAGCATGGAGGCCTTGATTGGTGGATTCCTGCATTAAGCAGCAGGTTGGACTCCTTGACCCTATGTGGACCTTCCAGTTCTCCAATGTTCTGGTTTGCAAAGTTCAACTCTCCACTGAAAGTTGTAAGGCTCAACTGGCTCTAAATGGCAACCCCCAGGAAGGCATCTTTTTATTGCATTGTTGGCTCCTCCTTGTACCTACCCATGACAGCATCAGCAGCCAGCATTTAGGAGAAGCCAGAGCTGATTCAAGCATCAGCCTTGGGCTAGCTCTGGCCCGAAAACAAGCAAGGAAGGCTCTCTTTCGACTTGGATCTCATGGCAGGGAAATGGCCTAGGGTCACCTACGCTGGAACCTGGGGCTCAAAATGCCTTGAATCGCAGGAGATCCCAGTTGGAAGTGTGTTGCAGGCAGAGAAGCAAGACATATCTGGATTGGTCAGAACAGAGGAGCAGGATGGCCAGCATTTCTCAGCCTTGTCTACTTTAAGATGTGTGGACCCCCAACTCCCAGAATTCCCCAGCCAGCATGGCTGGCTGAGGAATTCTGGGAGTTGGAGTCCACACATCTTAAAGTTGCTGAGGTTGAGAAACACTGGGCTGGCCACTTAGTTACCTCGGAGGTAGAAGTTGAGAACGATGTGGGTTCCTGGGGTCCTTTCCATCATTTAGTACTGGATTTCCTTCTTGGGTTCCTCCTTTAGTTTTTCAGCATTTCATTCCTTAAAAGCTGGTGAATGAACGCGCTCTTGGTTTTGATGCTTTTAGGAGATTGTCGTGGCTTTCACAGCGCCTTGCATCCAAATGGGATACGAGCGTGAAAGCAGGAGTCACAAAAGTCCAGATGGCGCCTGCAGCGGTGCAGTCAAGGCTCTGCCTGGCTTTTACGTGTGTTGTGCGGGTAACCCACAGCATGTCTTTTCCTTACTTGGCCAGGGACAGCAGCGATGGGTTTGCCAGCCCTCTGTCAGGCCGAGGGGACGTAATTTCAGGCTTTCCTTTGAGTTTTGCTTTACTAGGCTGTTTGCGTATGCAAGCTATGATGACCTGCGCTCGGTTTTAATACTGGGTAAGCGGCATGCTTCCCTAGCCTTGAACCAAGCCGGTAGTAGACGGTGCGCATGGCCCACATCCAGCCAGAGAGTTTCAGCCCCGGGTGCAGCATCTCTCGATGAGCCTTCCATGCAAGGGAAAGGCGATTGCAAGCCGCCTTTTCAGGCTGTTTCATTTGGCAGAAGCATAACTGTAACAGCCAAGGAAATTCACTCCCTGCTGTTTCAGGTTTGGGTTCTTTGCGCTCTCAGTTTGAGTCATGTGCAAACTTGGGTGGGTGCTTCACTCTGCTGTGCAGGTAGGAGGGGAAATTGCTGCTCTCCTGCTAGAAACCCCTGTGGTTTTACCGTCTGCAAAGACTTAACCCTTAAAGCCACAATCTGGGTGGGTAGATGCTTTCTGATGGACTTGCTTTTGGGGTTCAGGATCAAATCTGCTCCTGGGCTGGACTTTTCTGTCTCCCCCCCCCCCCCCCCAAAGATGTCTTGTGAAGAAAGCTGGTCTGCCTAACCTTCACTGCTCCCTCTTGAGGTGTGTGTGCCACCAATCAGCCTACTCCCAAGAGAAGCAGATTTTTTATTTATTTATTTTTGAGATTTGTGAAGCTGCCCAACTCAAACAAGGTGATTCTGGGCAGCAGACAGCATAAAAAACAAACCAGAAACCAGAAACAAAACCCACCATATATTGTTAAACATAAGCAATATATGAATATAGAGTGCCAACCAAGCACACCACAAAACCACCACAAGGGAGACACTCGCTCAACCGGCCCCAATGTCTGGGGGGAGAGCCGGACTTCACGGCTCTCCTGCAGGCGAGCAGAATTGGGGCCTGGCTTATGTCGGGGGGGGGGTTCCAGAGAGCAGGGGCAGCCCCAGAAAAGGCACACTTCCTGGGTCCCATAAGAGGAGCAGATTCAAAAGAAGGAACCTGGCGCCTGCCCTCCCTGTGGGAGCGTGTGGGCAGGTAGATGTCCTTGGGAGAAGGTCGTCTCTCAGGTAGCCCGGTCCCGTGCCATGGAGGGCTTTAAGGTGATGACTGGCACCGTGAATCGCACCCGGAAGTCTGTTGGGGGCCAGTGCAGCTCACCGAGTAGCGGTGTTACGTGGGCATAAAGATGTACCCATGACTTCCTGCGCTGCTGCATTCTGGACCACCTGGAGCAGGTCAAGCGCATCTCCTAACCTGACTGGCAGCTTAAGCCAGAACCAGGCTCTGTCCTAGCCCAGGAGGTCCCTTTCTAAGCGCCCGCAGACAGCTGTGTCCCTCGATCACCCACGTCCTTCCCAAAGAGATTCAGAAGGGAAACACCCAGGCAGTGTCTTCATCCCACCCTCAAGGCTTGTCCCCTTCTTTGCTGCCTGCCTTACACACACACACACACACACACACACACATCCCCAGATCCCTGCCCAGACCTCTGTGCTTGTTGGGAAGCATCGCTCCTCCCCAATGACAGAAGCAGCTGCCCAAGGTGGGCAGAGGGGGGGCAGCGATGGCCCCAGCAGGATGTGGCAGCTGTCATCTCTGTGAAATACTTTCCTTGAGGTGGTATCAGCCTTCCCAAGTAGACCAGACAAGAAACACGAACAGTTGAGCTAATTCTACTTTATTGTAAAGCTACATTGACAGAACCTTGCAAGTCTGAAAGTACAGTCCTCCCCCTCCCCTGTCTCTGGCACAGCCCAAGAAACTAGGGAGGGTCCCTTCTGAGCCTCTTGCCCCCCCCCCCTTCCAGCTGCGGGCGATGCTGCCTCTTATCTGAGTGTTCCCTTGGCAGTGCCTCTTGGCCCAGTCTCCCAAGGTCTTTCCCGCATGCCATTACAGGTTGGTCCTCCTGCAGGGGCAAGAACAATGCAACAAAGGCATCAGCTGCCTGCCGCGGCTCGGTTCTCTTGGCAGGAGCCAGCAGAGGAATGGCCGCTGAGGCGAGGGCTGGGTGGGAAGGCTGGCCCCGCCACGGGCCAGTTGGAGCCCTGAAATTGCCGGCCTCCTTGGGCTGCTGCCGAGGTGCCCGAGCACCTTCGTCTGGCTTCAGCCTTTCAGGGGCAGCTTTGGGGTGGCAACGTGCCCTTCATGACTGGTAAGCTCGGGGCGGGGGCTGCACGGATGCCCCTGAGCCACATCCCGGAGCGTTCTGGCCACAGCTCCCAGGGAGCTTGGCCTCTGGCTTCTGGCTGGGATTCTCTGAAGCTGCCTCCTGATGCTCTCCAGGCGCTCTGGGCTGGGGAAGGGTGGCTGGTGCCCGGCAGGCCATTGGGAAGAACCTGGCCTTTGACTAACCGATCTTCCTTTCTTTTCAGAGGCAAGTCACAGCTTTGCCCTTTTTCCAGCCTTAGCAGGAGCGGATCGCAGGATCGGGTCAGAAGAGAACGCAACTCCAGAAGTAAATAGTCATTTTTAAAAATGCCTGTGTGGGATGTCTGTTCCTTGCGGCTTCAACTTCTTCATCCTTGGTGTTCACCTTCCTTGTTAGGCAGCCATGCACTGCCGTGCCCCTGAGCGAGCAGGGCGCACTCAGTATCCTAAATTCCCTGGACGGGGCCCATAACTTTTCTTCAAGCCTTTTTTATAAAAGGCCTGGAAATTTAATGTTGCTCTTTACAGTTAAAAAGTTAGAGTCCAGGGTTACCAGATTATTTGTTCAGTATCACAGTCAGTATTTGGAATAAATCTAGCTCTGCCTAGATTTGGAGACAAATGTCCTTTCAAACTGGTCTGGATCTTACTGGCTTCGTGGACTTTGGGTCCTTGAGGCCGGCTCACCACAATTCGCACCTTGTGCCTTCTTTTGACTAGAGGGCGTTGAGTCTGATTCCACCTTTTTCCCTCCCCACCAGGCCAACTCTTTGCCGGCAGAGAGGGCACAGTCTCTGGTGGATTCAGAAGAAGGTGTGGCCCGTGCAGATGGGATCCAGGCTGACCCTGCTGCTGGTAAGAGGCATCTTTGCTAAGGAGGGTACAGGGGAGAAAGCAGATCCGTTCTCCATCAGTTGTCTTCAGGGAGAAGTTCTTTCACCCCATCCTGTCTCGCCGCTCAGGAGGACTCTCAGAAACTGCATGGGTTTGAACAGTGGCTGGCTTTGTGTCCAAATCCTCCTCCTGCTAAATCGATCAGCCTGGCTGAGAGCTGCCTCTCTTTGGGGCTTTTTTGCAGACCCAGCACTGGACATGGATATTCAAGAGCTTGCTAGCCTCACCGCAGGAGAAGGAGACATCGAGAACTTTGAGCGACTGCTCTCCAAGCTGAAGGAAATGAAAGGTAGCCTTCAGCTTATTTCCCCAAACTCAGGAAATAACTCGGTTTTCTTGCAAACCTGCCAGGGCTGACTTTCGGAGTGCAACAGCCGGACCTCTCTCCCCAGCCCAACCCATCTGCAAAGGAATGGAGGGACAGGACGGGAGGGGCCTGCCCCAAGTGCCCGGCTCCTGCATGTGCTAGGCAAGAGGAATGCTGGGAAATGCAGTTTCCTAGCATTAACATCTAGGCAGCAGCAGGACACGGCAGCCCCGTCCTGTGCTGTGATCGCTGTCCTGCTGTTTCCTCTGCCATTACAGGAGCAAGAAAGGAAAACGAGAGGGAAGGAATCCATTCTTTTACCTTCTGCCACTGATATTAAGAGTTGGGCCAGACCGAAATATTTTACAGACCTTGTCCTGGAGGAAAGAGCATTTGCACTCCTCCTAGATTCATATGCTGGATTAGGAAGAGCCTTGCTGGGTTTCATCACTAGCTTCTACCTGCCTCAAGCCTTGGGAGCTTTGCACAAGTTGAAAAATCGGTGCACAGAAGGAAGAAGGGAGTGATATTCTAGAACGTGTGATCAGAGGTTGCGACAGGAGTAGCTGAACGGGCCCAGTTGCACCAGTTGGCCCCTCCTGGCCAGCCGGCTGCCTCTGGCTCGTTTCTGCGCAGGCAGTTCCTGAGTAACAGGTGGCAGCGCTCAGCCTGTTCTTATACGCTGGCTTTTCATACCTTTGCACTTAACCTCTTCTTTATCACCCCCTCTGAATAAAGACATTGCTCTAGCAAAAGCTCTGGCTAATTTGAAAGGTGACTTTTCTTTCCCTTTCGTTCTCAGAAAAGGCTGCCATCCTGCCTCGCGAGCAAAGAAAGCTGCATGCCGAAAAGGTGAGGTCTGGGGCTGGAAATACCATTGTTGAGCCCAAAGGCAGCCAGATGCTGTTGACGAGCATCATAGTATCTCACTGAGAGATTTCTAACAGCTGCCCCTTTTCTTACCAGCTCTCCTCCCCACCCAAACTGTCAAAGTCAGAATTATTTATGCTCAGGTTTTTGTTTTTGGGTGGATCCTCCGGCGCCACTCCTCATTTCTCCAAGTTGCAGATTCCAGGATAGAAGCTAAGTGTGTACTGACCGTGTGGTTCTGCCCCCGTGGCTTAATAACCCTTGAGTGAGCTTGTGGGATGTTTCCTATCTCCTGCAGGTGTGGTGCGAGCCTCCAGGAGTTTCAGCTTGTTTCCTTGACTCCTAGGTTGCCAAAGCCTTCTGGATGGCCATCGGAGGAGACCGAGATGAGATCGAAGGCTTGTCTTCCGATGAGGACAACTGAGGAAGGGGCGTTGCAGACTGGAATGGGATTCTCGTGTTGGAAGCACAGCGGTGGTCAGCTGCTGCATGATTTTGACAAAGGCCTCATTTTCTCTGCAGCAGCAGCAGCAGCAGCAGCAGCAGCAGCAGCAGCAGCAGCAGAGACTCGAGGGGGGGTGGTCACTGGAGGCTTAGTTCATTAATGCTCTTCTGCTCTGAAAAGTAGCTGCCTCCATTGTCTCCTTGCCTGGATTCATCAAGGGGAACGTGGGCCTTCAGGTGAACAGAACCGGGTTCCAAGCTAAAGAGAGAGCTGCCTGGCATCTTTTGGATAGACCAATCATTGTCCCATTTGCCTTCTAACTTGTCTTCATGTCAAAATACAGCCTAAAATCTGGAGGGGAAAGTTGGTAGAAATCTATTTGTTAGGAGTCTTGATGTCTCTAGACCCTTAAAAGTGGAGAAACACTGTGCTAGAAAGATGCAGCTTCTATGGGCTAAAATTCATTTGGAATCGGGCCCTGAGCATTTATCAAATGCTCGTTGGCCTAGCAGCCAAGGGGAAAGGGCTTGCATGCGCTCTACCTGCCTAGCAGCTGCAAAAGAACCAGCACAAGGAGAAACATCTGGATGTGTTCTGGTTTTCTCCCGTGTGTCCTGTCGCTGGCAACTAGAGAGGATGCTCGCAATTCCCACCTTGCTTGAAAGAGGCTGTTGCTCGAGCAGCCTTTGGAAACAATAAAGGGAGGGCTTTTGTTTGGGGAGGGGAGCACATCTCTGCAAACCTGCAGCCAGGAAGGTTAGGATTCCCCTGGGTTTAAAGGACCTTATGCAGGAGCAGCAAGGCTGGATCTGTGGGAGGTGGCAGGCCATGCCTGCTGCTGTTTGCAAAAGGTGCGTAAATCTCAGTGCTCCGTTAGTGTCAGAACATGATTAGTTTCAGCGGAACAAAGGAAACTCCAACTGCCCTCGGGGCTGAAGCAGCCTCTCAGGCAGTTAAAGCACTTTAGAGTCCAGTTGCTGTGGCTGGAAACGAAGCTCCTTTTCACCACTGCAGCCTGCTGGGATCCCGGCATTCCTGTGCAGT